TAGGGGCCCCAGGACACACAGGTCATATCACACTGCCCAGATGGAGACCCTCTCGGGCAGGGGTGGTTCCTGGAGTGGACTAGCTGAATGGGTTAGACCTCGTGGAACATCCATATGCCAAGGGGGGAGACAAAATGGCAATTCCTGTCTGCAGCTAGGAGCGTCCGTCCGTGGCAGACGGAGCAGAGAGGGAGCCAAGGGCTTGCGCACACTTCTGGCTCTGCGCAGTGGCAGAAAGTGGCCAGCAGGTGGCAGTGTGAGCTTGGCGTGGGGCCGGCCGCCAGGCACCGGAATCCTGGGGAACTGGCTCTGGGGATGCCCCTCCCTCAGGATGGCACCCATCACAGGCTAGGGGGCACACTTGAGGTCTAGAGGGAGAGAAGGGGCAGAGGAGCAGGGAAGTCAGCTTGTGTCAGCAAAGAGATCAAGGAGCAAAGCTGGGCTTTTCTCAAAAGCACTGGAAAGTAGGGGTGTTTCTAGAGGGGAGAAAAGAACTCACTTCAGGCTAATGGCACGTTTCCCCGATTTCTGGCGGCGGGGGGTGGGGAGCAGTCATCAGCACTGAATGCTGTCAGACTACAGAGTGCGCCCCCAGGGCCCGGAGGCTATGGCCAGCTCGGTGACTTCCCCTGGTCAGATCTCGGAGAAAGGATCGGTGTTTCCTGAGGGTAAAGATAACTCATGTGAGCACTGACCACCCCCAAAGGCCCATCAGCTGGAAGACGACAGGCCCCAGCGTCTGTCTGTCCATCTCCAGAGCAGCACCCCACTACTGTTTGAAGGACCTGTGCCCTTTCCGCTTCTTCCATCTTCCAGATGGGGCAGGTGCACACAGACTTCCAGAACAAGGGGATTACTTGCAACATATTTATTGATAGGATATATTTATTTGTAACACAGAAAAGATACATTGTTGCTTATTTAGCGCCTAGTCCAGGAACAAGAAAAGCTGCTTAGCTCCAGTCACTCAAACACTGACAAGAAGCAGGGATTGTATCTTCCCCCACTGCGAAGGCTCGTTCCTGGAGTGCATTTAAAGGGTATACAGTACAACAGACAGGTGTTTTTTGCCTAGAAAACAGTACACCACAAAGGTGGACAGAACTGCTTGTAAACACGGTCCCTCCCCTCCGTGGAGTCGGGGCTTCTGGACCCCACCAGACCTCTGGACGGAGCCCTTTCAGTTCTGCACCAGAAGAAATACTATTTCTACAGAAAATAAAATTCACAATTGCCGTCCTCGCCACCCCTCTTATTAAGAAAGGGATTGCTGAAATGTCATAGCCCTTCATTGGAGGATTGAAATGTGGGGGAGAGGGTGAATGGGGGGATGCTGTTGTTAGGGAGGCAGGGCGGACGTGAGGTCCCCGCGCCTGCCGCTGGCAAGACCCCGCCACCTGCATGGGTTCTCGTGGAAATTGCTGGGGTTCACGGAGGTCTAGGCCTCCCTCCAAGCAGGCCACGCCACCACCCCCTCTTGTGGCATCCGTCAGCTGGCCCTCCTGCAGTGGCCGTGGGGCTCACACCTCGTCTCTGCACAAACACCCCCGGGGCAGGGACGGACCCATCAGTCAGGGTTCCCCGCTCAGTGCTGCCCCCCAGGACAGCACCGGCTTCTGGGTTCCTTCTCCAGCCGGCTCAGTTCAGGCCACAGCGGTCTACTGGGCACGTGCTTAACAAGGCCTCAGAGCTGTGCCCAGCGCCCTCACTGCCTCGAAGGCCCTCAGTCCCTGGTCAGCCCCGGGACGCCTGTTACCCACTGCTACCGCCACCGCACCACCTGCCCGCCTGTGGCTTGGGGTGGGGGCTTCTGAGATAACTCCGCTAGCACCACCAGACTGAGGGCACTGGGGGGGGGGCTACAAGGTAGGCTGTGAGGGGGGCCCAGGCTGTGCTGAGCCCTCAGACCCGAGTCCCTCACCAAAGTGGCAGGGTGGTGATGTTGTAGCTCTTCTGCCCGGGAGGGGGTGCAGCGCATGGCTGCAGGGTCCCCCCCCCCCGGGCCTCCCAGGAGACCGGCTGCCCCTGGGGTGGGGGTGGGGGGCGGCGGGCCTGGGATGCTCGAGCAGTTTCTAGAGGCAGAACCGGAGTGTGGGCACAGACTGACGGACGGTGGAGAAGGAAGAGCCAGCCCAAGTTCCTTCTCCCCCTCTCTTCCCCCAGCGTTGCCTACAGAGGTGTGACCCACAGGCTGGGGGAGACCAGAGGTGCACAGCGCCTCGCTGTGATGAAACCTTTGCAGAGGAGTTTGTGTGGGGCGGGCCTGGGTGTGCACGCTCGGCCACACACGTGGGGCGTGTCTGGGCGTGTGTGCACACGGGGAGTGGTGTGTGTCGGGTGTGTGTGTGTGTGTGTGTGTGTGTATGAGCTGAGTGTGCACGTGCGTGAGCACACCCGTGTGCCCGAAGGCTCAGCCCCGAGGGGCTGGCAGGGCCTGGCTGGGTGGCTCAGCCAGTCCTCTCCGGGCCAGAAGCTGGGGCCCGGGTCGGGACAGGGGAGCCCTGGCAGCTCCTGGGCCCTGGTCCTGGCAGCGGCAGCCGGGGGACCCCACACACGGCCTCGTAAGGGGGGAGGGTGTCCATGGAGACGGTGCGGAGGCCACTCTGGCCCTGGGTCCTCCGCACCTGCTGGTGTCGGCCTGGGCTGTGGCCGCTGCCCGCGTCGAAGTCGCCGTCCAGAGAGGGGCAGGAGCCGGTCAGTGAGTAGGGTGGGGGCGCGTCCGTGGGGATGTACAGCTGAGTGGCCCCGGGCCCCATGCACTCCTCATAGCTACAAGAGAAGAGGCTCCCTTAGGGCTCTGTGGACTTTGGCCTTGGGGTGGGGGTGGGGGGGCCCCCGTCTGCTGTGACAAGCTGCCCTGCGGGCTGGCTCTGGTGAAATCTCCCTCCAGCCCTGGGACCTGGCTTCTGCTCCCACGGCCGACCCAGTGTCCAGTGTGAGCACAAGCGAGCATGCTGCTGGATGCTGGGTCTCGCGCTGCTCCAGATGACGGGATCTCAGGGCCAGGCAGCGGCCTCAGGGTGCCAGCCACCACTCTGTCCCAAGGAGTCCCGGCCCCTCTCAACACACAGATGCTGAGTAAAGCAGCCTCCTTGCCCCTGGGGGGACAGTGTACTGCCCCGCCCTGGCCCCAGGACAAGGTGGTGCAGAGGACATGATTGCCTGTAGGCCCGAAGGGCCTTTGGTGGGGAAGGGATGGAGTCTGGCCCCTCCTCTCACCCAAGCACCACCCAGTGAGTGCGCTGCATGGGGGTGGCTGACCGGAGAGGACCACAGGCGCCCCAGAGAAGAGCCCCTCGCGCCCAGAGAAGAGCCCCTCGGCGGGACAGGGCTTCCTGGTGAACCTGAGTACACCTTGGATACAGCTCCTGTGCCAGTGGGTGTGATCTGGCTCCGGGGTGCATACGAAGGAGCTGGGACCTGGACCCTCCACCCCAAGAACAGGGACTTAATATCCAGCACGCCCATCTCTGACCCCTCTGCTGCCACCACCCCTGCAACCTCAGGAGCACCCCCTAATTGAGGCGACTGTCCCCATCCCCAAGGCATTTCTATGTTGGTCTCTGCAGTCAAGGCCACCAAGACCCCAGACTGGGGTGCGTGCGTGTGGTGGCCCTGACTTCCCAGCTGCGTCCTCACCTTCCCGCCCCTTGCCCCAGCTGCCCAGCCCCTCTGTCCAGGGCCTAGCCCCAGCCAGGTGGCTGGTACCCAACTGTGATGGTGGCGCTCGGCCCGGGCACCCTGCTGCTTGAGACGGAACCTGGCCTTCTGCTCTGACTCAGGGAGAACGCTGCCTTGGGGGCCCCCGACGGGGCCCCGTGCACCTGGGCACTGGCCAGGCGCATCTCCACTTGGTCCTCCCTTTGGGGGCCTTAGCCTCCTTCCTTAGCTGTCTCCGTCCCCTCATGGGCCAGAGCCAAGAAGCCCCCTGGGGCGAGGGGGTAGGGTCAGCTGTCCTCAGGGCCCCGGCTCAGAAACTACGGCCATACTTTGCTGGTGACCTGTCAACGATGGGTCATGTGTGCGAAGTGACCCCAGCGGGCTGTACCATCTAGCCCGGGTGTGTAGAACCTGCTTGGTTGACCCCAAAGAAAGGGGAGTGGGGGGAGGCCGAATCAGGCTCTGCCCCCCTAGTCGGCCTGGCGCGTCCTGCCTCTGGCCTTTGCTGGCTGTGCGGGCACAGGCCTCCTCCACCTGCATCCTCCAGGCCTGACTCCTTCCCAACCCTAGAGCCACACCTCTGCAAAGGCGATTTTCCAGGTCTTCCCTGCTCCCCCCTCTCATCCTTACTACTGGGCCCTTGTCACCTTTGAGCTGGAAGCCACTACAGCAGTGGTGATGAGAGCCAGCACTTATCTAGACCAATTAGGTGCTGAATTCTCTGGCCTACTTCGTGTCCTCTCACACCTGCCTGATGGGAGTTCATGCCCACATGAACAGCAGAGAAATGGGCACAGGTGGACGGTTAACTGGCCCAGGATCACACAAGAAAGCACTTCAGAGCAGGCGCCCCTGAACCGCAGACCCCGGCATCTGGGCCCAGCCCCCCTTGCCACCCTGTTCTGGAGCTTTTCTTCCCTAGCAGGAGGTGGGCCTCTTGGCCCGTCTAGTCCACCTCCTCAGGGAGCCACCTTGAGGGTCTAAAGCACCCACGTGCCTCAGAACTGCTACCATAGGCCACCCCCAAAATGGAATTCCCTGGGAGCCCCTGACCCATCAGCCTGAGGGGTTGGGCACTGCTCTCCCTTTGCTAGGGCTTTAAGGCTGATGCCTGTTGAGTCACCGCCCCCCCCCCCACTTTGTTGGTCCAGAGGGGTGAGAAAAGGACCCACTGAGCAGATGTCTGTATTTGTATCACTGGGGGAGGAGCTCAGACCCCCCCACGCCCTCCTCCCCACGGGGTCTCCTTACCCTGGAGGAGAATCGGGGTACAGCTCTTGGAGCACCGTGGCATCCACATCCCCATCAGAGCTGAGGTCCAGGGCCGGGGGCCAGTCCTCAGCAGGGTTGCAGGCGTAGCGCATCCTGCGGCTGGAGCGGCTGTAGGTGTGTCCGTCGGACACTGCAAGGGGGGTGGGGAGGGAGGGAGGGAGGGGGACAGTTCAGCCTGGCCTCAGGCCAGCGTCCAGGGAGGGGCTTCATGGGGTTCCCCCTGGGCATACCTTCCTCCATTTTATAAGAGACTCAGTGAGTTACTGGAGGCCACACAGCAAGTTACTGCCTGGCCAGAGGGCGGCTGGAATTCCACCCCCAGGTCCAACAGTCTAGACAGTCTACCAGCCACTGGGCAAACAGATCTCTGCACTGCACTGATTCCAGAGGCCCCTCCCCTCAGGGGGGCGGGGCTCGCCCTCGGGGGCGGGGCTCGCCCTCGGGGGCGGGGCAAGTGCAGCCCAGGTTGGGTGAGCCGAACTGTTCACAGACGGGTCCTACAGCCTGGACTCCTGAGCCTCAGGGTCACTAGCCCGGCCAAGCAGGGTTGAGTGTGTCGCCGGGCTTCCCGCCCAGTGTCTGTATTGCCAGCACTGAGCTTTCCACTCCCCTAACCCCTTTTCCCCACTCTTGACACAACGGTGAGTGAAAACTGCAAATATAGAGCTATCTGCAGGTTTCGTCCTGGGATTATTATCTGCAGACGTGGAGACAGCTCTCGGAAGATTCCAAACACATTAGCATGGGCGCTGTCTGCATGATGGGACCACGGCCCTATTTTCTTTTTTATATTTTCTGTATTAGTAAGGTTTTCCAGAGTGAACACATATTACTTTTCTACTAAGAAAAAGGAACCCAATAACAGATGTTGTAAAAGGGAATTGAAATGAGATTTGTTTCCCTTTAGGGCACCAGCTGAAGGTGTTGGTTTGAAGGGTGAGCAGTTGGGAAGAACTGGGGAAGAATGAAAGCATGATTATCATGAACAATAAGGTAAGGTCCCGAGCAGCGTCGTGGGGTTGCTGGGGTCTGCTAGGGTCGACTCCCTGCCAACATTGCCAGGGAGGGTGGTACTGCCCTGCTGGAGGCTGAGGGGCCAGACTTTGGGAAATTTCCCCAACGCTGGTTCCAGGACTCATGGCGGTCCTATGGCCAGGCCCGAGAGCCACCGGGCAGAACCATGCTGCTATTCCCTGTCTCTCTGGGTTGCTTTTCTTGTTTCTCCCAGCAGTCGAGCACCTTAGGGAAACAGAGGTAGCCCCCGGGCTCACTCACCTAGCTCAGACCCTAACCTGGAGAAGACCAAGCTCAGTCCCAGATATCCAGCTGGGCTGAGCTCCAGAGGAACAGCTGGATGGAAGCTCCCACCCCCCCAATTGAACTAGTTGCTCTCTGATCCCCACTCCTTGTCAGCTTCCACATCAGCTCAGCCCTGAAGGGCCAGGGTTGGGAAGCTCTCCTGATTTCACGGAGGGTGGGAGCTCTCTAGCTCCTGTGCCACAAATTACGCAATACCTGGCTCGGCTTTTAACCCAAGTCCAAGGTCTGTATCCCTTGACCAGTGCCCATTTGCTCTACTCATCTGATTCACTCTCACAACTGGGACAGAATCTCTGTGTCACCCCCGGCCTCAGATGAAGACCTTGAGAGCGGTGATCCCCCCCGACAAGTGAGAGAGAGGAGGCCAGATCTGTCTCCTAAAGCTCCAGATCTTTATATTGTGGAAAACAGAATCCCATTCATCCATTCGCCCCCTCACACACTTTCTTCCCACTCTCACTTATTACCTTCTCTCTGGGCCTGGCTAGAGGGCAGAAGGCAGAGGAGAGTCAGCTCTGTCCTGAAGGCAATGGGGAGCCCTTGAGGGATGCTGAGCGAGGATGGAAGTGTCACAATTGAGTTACTTTGGAGAATGCCTTGGGAGTGACAGGCTGGCAGCTGGCAGCTGGCGGGGGTGGGGTGGGGGTCAGCTGGCATTTGTGAAGCGGCCAGGAACAGGTTTTACTGGGGGGAGAGGGGTGGACATGGTAATGAAAATAGTTAAATTTTATCGAGCACATACTCAGTAGCTAGATACGGTGCAAATCTAGTCCTCCCTGTAACTTCTGGGGTGGGCTCTATGTGCCTCATACACATTGTGTCCATGACTGCTTGAGGTATATAGAGGGTAAGCAACTCTCCTGAGGTCCTACAATAAAAGTGGAGGATTCAGTCTGCTTTGGACACCCTGCGCCTGAGGTGTTAGTTCCGGGGGGCAGCTGTCTAGGGGACATCTGGACACAGTGTGGAGTGGAGGAGATGGCTGGAACAAGCTGGCGGGTGGTGTGTGAAGCTTCCAGGGAAGAGATGGAGCAGGACTGGGTGTAGAGAGAGGCTGCAGGACCCAGGGTGGGGCTCTGAGAGACCCTGACATTCCTCCCCTGGAGAGCAGGAACACACACACACACACACACACACACACACACACACACCACCATGCCCTCCTCTGACCTTCAGCCACACTGTAGGGCATCAGAGCCTCTATAGCAGAGAGATCCTGGTGAGCACCTGTGAGCTCTGCCTGATCACCCAGGGCCTCTAGCATGCCTTCCCTGGGCGTCCCGCAGCCGGTGGCCGGCGCCCACACCCCTGACGCCTTTCCGGTGGAGCCGTGGTCCCGGCAGCCGCGGCGGGTGGGGCAGCAACTCACCATAGCCGTGCTCGTACTCCCGATGGCGGCGACGCCGGCGGTGATGGCGGTGGTGGTGGCGGCGGCGGCGCTGGAGCCGGGCCTGCCGGTCCCGGCGGATGCTGCCCACGATGATGGTGATGCAGGAGAGGATGATGACCACACCCACTGCAGCACTAGCCACCAGCACTGGAGACACCAGCAAGTGGCTGTGCTCTTGGCTCTCCGAGAACGTAGGATAGAAGTAGGTTGTACGGTTGTATCGAGCTATTGTGGACAGAGAGGACACTCAGCGAGGCCCCGTCCTCTCGCCCTGCTGCCCTGTGCGGTGATTTACCCCAGGACAGCATGGGACAGGCCCATGGATACTCCTCCAGCTAGCACCTGGCCCCGCTGCCTGCCAGGGCTTCTGGTAACGGGAGTTGAACGACTGGCCTGTCCTCTGGAGCCTCTGGCCTGGGAGGTCGACTAACTCGGGGAGAAGGGAAGCCCAGAGAGGGCAGTGGACCTGCCCAAGGTCACAATTACTGCCAATTACTGGCAGAGCCGTGACTTGAACCTAGACGCAGTGCTAGATAAGGACTCTACCCCAAAACACAAGCTTAAACGGTCAGTATGGGGATGGGCAGGGGACACACAGGAGGTCACAAGCTGAAGACCAACTCTGCTGGCCTCCAACAAAGAACTCCTGCCTTGAGGGGCAAAACCCAGTCAGAGGACTCCAGTACAGAGGAATCAGGCCTGGGATCTGGGCAGCAGCTGGCCCAGACATTCAAGGGAAGGGGGGTTGCATCAGATCAGGGAAGGCTTTCCAGAAAGGCTAGGAGGCATTATGGGCCAGGGAAGAACAAGGACAAAGGTCAGGAGGCTTGGAGGGGCCTTCTCAGAAGGGCATGGGGTGGCTGCAGCATAGGAGGCTGGAAGAACCTCCTGTAGACTGGCAGCTGGGTCTTGAGAGCCCAACAGATGGGAGCTCCGGCACTGAGGTGCCTCTGTCCTCACAGGATAGAGGGCCAGGGTGGCAAGGCGGGTTCAGTCAGTACCAGGTTGGCCTGCACCTTGAAGTGTCCTTTATTCTCTCCAATCCTGCTGGGCAGGGATGCAGTTTTCCCTTTTAACAGACGTGTAGACTGAGTCTCTGATTTGGCCAATGGTTGGGGCGAGCTTCACAGTCCAGTGCTCATTCCCGAGGGCCCCCTGTCCCGGGAGTGAGCCCTTCCTGAGGCCACTCACTCAAACTGCACAGCCACAGGAAGCCAGCTCCAGATGCTCACTGAGCCACAGGGTCCAGAGCAAGCCCTCCTGGGCCCTGTCCTGAAAGGGGGTCCCTGTCCTCCCAGAGCCCATGTTCAAGCCCCTGTTTTGCATCTGATGCTTATGTTCATGCATGGTTTCCAGATCTGAGTGCCCCTTCTGTCCTCAAGCTCAGGACTGGTCTGGGTATACTAAAGATGCCCAGGGCATATACTAAGTAGCACCAGGCTTGAGACCAGCTGGGGAAATGGCAAGGAGACCCTGAGTTGACTCAGGGGAGTGGGATCTCTGCACTAGATGGGAATCACACTGAACACAGGGGTGATTCACTTAAAGCAAAAAGAATTTCTGTAGCCACCTGCCTGGGTACCTGTAATAGGGCTTTTTTTTTTTTTTTTTTTTTGTTTTTCTGTAATAGGTTTTTTTTTTTTTTTTTTTCACAGGGGAGGGCCTGATCTCTGCAAGTCAGTGGCTTGACGCTCTGTCCCTTCCCAGTAGTGTCTATAGAAACATCACCCATCCTCAGCTCAGGGCAGGGGACAGGTGGTGAGCATAAACTTGGGCAAGTGTCTGAGCTATGATCTGGTCTGTCAACTCTGGCACATGCTGCTGTCTCTTGTACCCTCACGAGCTTGATGGGGCTGGCCCAGAAGCCTAGGATGTCAGCCTAGCCTGAGAGCCAAGCTTCTGCCTGCTGAAGCTCCTTGCAGGCTGCTTCCCTCAAGGGGGAATGCATTAGGAGAAGGGAGCACCATGTGACCTGGCTCAGCAGGACTGCTTCCTGGCTCTGATGTGAGAACGCAGGAGTAAATGGATTTCTGGGACTCTTTGGGGGCCAAACACAGGTCACAATTTTCAGACCCCCTCCTGTGAGTAGGCTCTGCTAGGGGCTCACTTTATCCTTGAATCTATGCTCATAATTCTCCTCATTTTATAGGTGAGAACACTGAGGCTCAGAGATATTAAATGACTCACCCACAATTACACAGCCAGTATATGACTAAGTCGACCCTCTCTGGGTCTTGGTCTTTCCACTAAAGCAGAAAGAGCTGGAAAATAAGCTCTCAAAGGTCCAACAGTAACAGCACAAAAATGGGAAAGAGGGAGTAGTTACAGGAGCAATTTAGTTCTCACTGGAATGAATGTATGTAAAGATGAAGTTGATTGTGATATGTTAGATGTATATAAAAAGGCCTAGAACAATCTCTAAGGAGATAACTCAATGAAAAAAATCATTAAAGGAATTAAAATATTATAGAGGAATTTTCACTTAAAGCAAAAAAGGAGAAATAGAAGGAAAAAATGCTAAGAGAAGTATAGAAGACAAAAAGCAAAACAGCAGATACTGATTTACATACATCAAGGATAACATCAAATGCACACTGAGTAGGCAATCCAGTCAAAAGGCAGAGACTGTCCAACTGGACAAAAAATAAGATCCAACTATGTACTAGGTATAGGGCGCTCATTGGGAACCAAAGGCACAAATAGGTTAAATGTCCAACGATAGAAAGAAGAAACACCCGCAGATAGCAACCACAAGAAAGATGGGGTGAATACACTCATGTTAGAAAAGAACAGACTTTAAAACAAAAATATATTACTAGTGGTAAGAGGGTTATCTCATAATGATACAAGTGTCAATCCATCAGGAGGTGCTACAGTATAAACATGCATGCAACTAAGAACAGAGCCCCAAAATATATGAAGCAAAGTCTGACCAATTGAAGGGAGCCATAGACAATACAATAACAGATGGAGACTTCAATACTCCATTTTCAATAAGGCATAGAATTTGGTCTCTTGTTTGCTTTTTGACTGGTTATAAGTGCTTTTGATGAAGTGCCAGCTTCTTTTCATTCCTTTAGCTGTCAGCTGCCCTAAGCTAAGCTTTCCATTTTTCTTCAAGACCCACAGATGAAAGTGAGGCTCCTCCACCTCCTTCTCCCCAGAAAAAGGCATCAGTTTAAATCATCCTGTCTATCTTCAACTTAGGATAAATCTGACAAATACATAGCATGCCTGCCACCATTTCCTAACTATGTCTGTAGTTGACGTTGCTAACTGACAAAGGCTGTCCACCCTGTGTGGCCCACGAGGAAGCCTGGGCATCCTTTTCAACACAGCACTCCACACAGTGACCCCTCCTGATTGTGAAGCTGGGCCTTTGGCAAGCGCAGCTCATCTAGTGTGACCACCATCCACGATGCTGCCACCCCTGAGCCAATGGTCAGGGCTTTGGCCTGGACTAGAGCTGGCTGATGCTCACTGCTACCATATCCTCAGAAATAAAGTCGAGGCTAGTCTGCTGTCCGGCTGTGAGGCTTCCTGCCTTCAAAGGCAAAGGCAGGGCCTGGGACTGTCAGAAACATCAGTCCTCTTTGGGGACATCCTGCTACAGGGAGTTTTTGTAGGGGGCTCCAGCTGCTGTCAGGGCTCTGCTCAGCGTGTCCCGGCGGCTGCAATAGTTTGGGACACACCAGTCAGCTGACGGGTTAAAGCACACGCACTCTTCAAGTCTGCAGGTGTCAGGATGAAAGCCTTGGGGTGTGTGTGAGATGCCGGCCCCCACTCAGCACAGGAACCTGCGGCCCAGAAACCCGCCCTGTGGGGACGCCTGCCTCACCTTCCCGCCAGTGCCAGGCTCATTACCAGCTGGGCGGCACCTGTGCCTGCAAATGGAGCCAACTGGCACAGGCGGCAGCATGCACGGCTGCTGGGAAATTAATCTTCCCGTCACCGCGACCGGCAAAGGTAGGCGCCGCTTTAAATTATGAGGGAAACTCTTCCAATTTCCAAAGGCAGGGCCCATTTTATCAATAAGATAAATGGGACTGCGGGGAAGTAACACAGGGCCCCGCTCCACCCCTCTGCCTTCCTGTCCCCTGCACCACTGCGGCAAGGACAGAGGATCCCAAGCAGCTTCTGCAAAGGGTCGAAAAAGTGAAAATACCCGCTCTGCCCTCTGATGTCACCCTCCACGCACACACCAGCGTCACAGCCACCACCACCCCCCCCGAACCCCTGTGCATCCACGTGCTGGGCTTGGCCTTTCCATGCACCTGATTATCTCATTTAATTCTTCAGATGGCTGTAAGGCTACACAAGTAACAGGTGGCAAAATGCTTCAGGGAGGTTAAGGTGCTCACCAGGGCCACAGAGTGGGGCCCAGGTCACTGGGCAACTGAACCCCACACTCTCCTGGCAAGATGCCATCCTGTGGGAACTCATGTTTCTTGGATCTTGCTCAAGTTCAGGTCTCTTAGCCTAAAACAACGCCTTGCTTCTTCAGGGCTACTTTACATGTAGCCAAGCAGGCCCGGACCATGGCTAATCCGGGGTGAGGAAGCACGGGGTCATCTGAGTCTCCGCGCTGTCTGTTCTGGGATGCTGTAGGGGGTGTGGGTGAGGAGGGGGCCCTGGGGCGGTGTCTCTGAAGAGCAGTGATGACGATAAGGCGCTCTCTGAGCATTTACCTGCAGGCTCTAGCCCCTTCACATGCAAGATCACCTCACTCAGTCCCCACGCAACATGAGGGTGTGCACTGTCTGTACCCCACTTTACAGACGAGGAGGTAGAGGCACAGAGCTAGTGGGCGCTGTGGAGCGGAGCCGCGACTTAGATCTGGTGGTTCTATGCGGTTCCCAAGCCCACACGGGCCACTCTGCCTCCACGCGGTCTGAGGCCCCTGGAGCACAGGACCTGGGTCCCTCCTGCCACCGGATCTTCCCAGGACCAGCAGTCACGGCGATGGCAGAGGAGACACCAGAAATTGGCTGTGTGCCGAGAACACCCCAGGCAGGGCCAGCGGGCAGCTTTTTGTTTCTCCCTCTCACCTGCTGGCCCTCCCTGTCACTCACCCAAGCCCCCAGCCCATGCCCGGGCCTTGCACAGGGCTCTGAGCATGGGCCACTGTGGAAACAGGTGCTTCTTCTT